AAAATCCCGGACTTCGTGAATCTTCTTCTTGATCCCGTTGGCATTCCAGAAGAAGATCAGGAGGGTGTCAGTTAGTTTAAGAGGCCACAGTATGCCTCATAAATATAAAACGCTCTCTCAGGCCCCGTGGAGACATTTCGGAGCTTTGGGAGAGCATTTCTGAAGGCCTGCAGGAGTGTCTGATGATAAATTCCAAACTCTGAGGCGATTTGGAATACACTCCTGAGGGTGTCTGTACAATTGCCATCATCTACGGTTGGGGCTAGAGCCTGGGCCGGTGGTGTTGGCTGGAGAAGAGGACTCTGCTTCGATGCGTGCTTCGCTGCAGGGGCTTGCTTCAGGTCCTTCGTAGATGGTGGGAGTCCGGGATTTTTCCGTCCGGAAACGACTTCGCTAAAAGAGGGGTCCGTGCTGCTATGAGGAGCTTTAGCCGGAGCCGGTACAAATTTGGTTTTCCCGCTACCCGGTCGAATGGGGGGATTTTTATTTTTGTTCATCGGGTTTCGAGGGCAGTGAAACCAGTTGGCTGCGTGCCGCCCAAGGCAGTTCGCGCAGGTGTTGGCTTCTTCCGGGTCTTTAGTGCACTGGTACGCGTAATGCGGGCCAGCACACCTCAGACACCGGATTGGTTGTGTGCACACTGCGGACTATGAAAGAAGCCCTGGCAGCGCCAACACTGGCTCGGCCCCTTCTTCCCGATGTGTTTTTCAAATTTTATTTCAATACCAAACATTGAGGTTTCTTCGAAAATGTCATATACATTTAGTGATGGATTTAATTGAATCAGAAATAATGGCATGGGATAGCGGGATTTGTGCCTACGGAGTTGCGTTACATTAATGACAGAGTATCCCAACATCTGCAGTTCTGACTTTATTTTTTCTGCTTTTGCAGTGTTGTGTAGGCCGCGGAGAATAGCCTTTACGGGCCGATCCTGCTTGAGGTTAAATGATTTGTACTCGGCGCCCTGATTAGTAAGAATTTGGGCAACCGAGCGATAATCTGCTTCGTTCTGCATTTCAATTCGCAGGAACTTTCCTTTCATGTGGCAAATTGCCGTAGGCACAGTGGCTTGTACTAAAGAAGTTAAAAAAATTCAAAATCTTTTGGCTCTATAAAGAAAAAAGGAATTTTCCTCTTACTGCTACTAGAGCTCTCATTAGGGGGGGGGGGTACCGGGGGGGGGGGTACCGTCAACGGATTGCTCCTCTGGTTTTTCTTTCTCCCTCTGAGGGGGGATAGCTGCTGGCTGGGTGGGAGGTTATTCCTTCTCCGATCGATCGCTCCAAAATGGAGGCAAGGCATTGTTTGGAACCTGTTTTTCGGGTGAAATCGGCGCACCTCGTGAGATAAGATGGCGAGAAGGCTGCTGAAAACCTTCATCGTCAATTTTTCGAATTTTTTTATTTTTAGGTAAATCAGTATTTTCTCTGCTATTGATAGTTAGTTTTTGAATTTTTTTGGTGCTATTAATGATTTTATCAGCTTGTAACTTTGCTGGTTTAAGGATTGAATTTGAATTTTGGGTTTTAGCCGAAACGTTTGATTTTTGAGAGTTATCACTATTATCACTGATTTCGTTAGCAGATTTAAGAAGTTTTTTGATGCATTCATCTTCGGTAGGTGGGATGGCAAATAGAGGCAAGTTAAGGCATTTGGCAAGATTAGTGAGAGATAAAAGCATTACCTGCGACTCCTGCTTGACGCATTTCATGTCGAAGCTCGCAAGTGGTGTAGATCGTCTGGCTCTGCTCAGGTTCTGTTCTAAATCCGTAAATCGGGCCTTTAACAGATAGAGTTGTTTTATCTGCAGAAGTAGATCATCCGGATTAATTTGCTCATCTTGGCTTGTATCAGAGACAGGGACCGTCGAGTCTGTAGACACCGATGTAGCCATGGCAGAGCTGATATCAGGAGGGTTGCCTGCCATTATTTCCGGCGTCGCTTCGCTGTTGGTGGTTGGCGTGGAGCTCACGTCCTTTCTCCACGAGAGTCACCCTGCGAATTGCGTCTTGGAGCTTTAAGCTGTAACTATGTCTTAAGTGAAGATAATTTTCTTTATATAACTCTCTAAGAGTAGGGTTACAATTTCGTTGAAACCTACGTCTAGCAGCATTAACCTGCTCTCTCATACATTCGATTTCAGTAGTCCACCAAGGTACCTTATGAACTCTTGACTTTTTTAGAGGCATGAAAGCCTTGGATGCGTTATAGAGAATCGAGACAAAATTTTCTAGTCAAGAGTTTAATGCATGCTTATCCGTACAGATAGAGAATCGAGACAAAATTTTCTAGTCAAGAGTTTAATGCATGCTTATCCGTACAGCATTGAATAAACTGCGACAACTCATCAATTGACTGCTTACATGTATTGTAAAAAATATCCCAGTTAGCTTTCTTTACACTGAAGGCAATCTTGCTGTTTTTTCTGTCATAGAGAGTGTTATTAGAAGCTACAGATAGTTCAAACTCAATCGTACAATGATCAGAAAGGGATTCATAATCTGGTTGACATCAATGCAAAATATCTGCAAGAAGATCAGATCCTACAACCGTAATGTCAATATAGCTTGAACCTTGAGTACTACAGAAAGTAGGACCACAGTCTTCGTTTATAATGAACAAATTATTCATACTTAAAAATTCGCAAAGTTTTAACACCTCGATAATCTGAAACTGGACTATGGCAAATTTCAGATTGGCTGTTGTCATCCATAGCCCAAATCAATCTATTACAATTTTTTGAAGTTAATGCTACATTAATTTTATGCAAATCCAAGACGATATTTCTGCTAGGTTCAAAATAATAGGAAAAAAAGATAAAATTATGAGTATTGAGAGTAAAATCATGAGTATTGAGAGTAACATGAAGAAACACCATATTATAATCAAGATTATTAGTATCAAGCAGAGTAGACAGCTTTTGATTCTGTACAATAATAGCAGCTTTAATGGTATCACTAATAGCATCAAAGTAAACCTGGTAAGAGGTAGGCAAGTTAGGAAGAGCATTTATAAGAGTGAGGCTTCTGAACAAGAGCGATATCAATGTTAGAATTTTCCGTATTTAAAACAAGCTGCTGAGTAGCCATTTTCGAACGATGAAGATTAAGTTGAATAATTTTAAGAACAGAAATGGACAAGTTAAGCCATAATTAATTTGAGAAATAATTCTATTCTTCATAAAAATGTGAGAAGGACAATTTTCGGTGAAAGGCTCATGCTTGACATCAACTTTCTTACCAACATCCTTGATTTTGCTATTATAACGAATGCAATTTATGCAAACGTGGTTTTTTTTATTTTGGCAGTGCTCACTTTTATGTTATTTGCACATTTGAAGCAAGCAACAGAATTTCTGCCCTTTGTAATTATAGCCAAGGCATTTAAAGCATCTATTTATTATGATAAACTCCTCTACTTTACAAGCCGACCACTCAAAATTCAAATATCCCAAAGATAGGCATTTTCTGTATAGCTCGAATTTCATTTTGACAGCGATGCTTTGAGTTTTGGAATTTTTTAAGAGTATAACATAATTTCATGTCATTAATACTTTCATTACCATAAAAATGTCAGGATTTTGATCAAAGGGAACAGTTAATACATCTTTATCATCAATTTCATTTGGCACATTTTTAATAAGTAGAGCAGGATTTTTCTGTCTTGAAAGAGAAGAAATTAGTTCAGGTTTGTTGTTGATTTCATCTTTTAGTTTATCACGATCAGTTGAAGAGCATTGCACTAAAATTCTGTTATTAGAAATCGTCCTAATATTTTTTATACTTAATTTCTTTTCTGTAGGATTAATTATTAATCCTAATGAATGAAAGTTTTCTAAAGTTTTTTTAACATCAAGGAATGTAATGTTTTCCAATCAAGTAGCTGCCAAAGCAAGCAAATTACAGTTATTTGACTGTTTGTTTAAATTTTTTCCCCTAGATGACGATACCACCTCAGCATAAGAAGGTCTCATAACAGAGGTTTTCAAACTTGCCACACAAGCTTTGCGATAACTAGCAGATTGTAATCTTTCAAAATTTTTAATTATAAGAGGTTTTAACTCACCCAAAGCAGTCCTAGCATGTTCATGCAGCTCACCGTTCATATTAATCTAGATGCAAATGCTGTGTTGATAGTATCATAAAGTTTTTCAAGAGACGTGTAAAATGCGTCAAACTCTTTATCCACCATCTTGAGTCCTCATCCAGATGGAGCCATAAAAACCATTTTGAGGCCTTGCATACTGACATCAAATGCTGTATTGCAGAAATTCACTCAGGTATTCACTTTGCATAAAGTGCTTGATTCATCATTAGAAGACGTAATACCTTAATTTGCATATCAGAAATTGTTTAATCACTCTGCTATAGGCTTGTATTCAATACATCCCTTCAGAAATGGATTAGGTAGTTCATGGAATATTATTTTTGGGCATGTAAAAATGAGGTAAAGGTCATGAGAGTTTTTTTTTTTTTTTTTTTTTTGTTGTTGTTGTTGTTATGATTAATCAATTCTATTATTGTTAGATTTGTGTAATGATTTTTGGGCAATGTATTTTAATTCATACTATCAAAACATTGTTAAAAAGATTTAGACATATTAGTATTAACAGATCAAATATTTTTATTAGTTTTTTTTTAAAAGTATGAAGTAGACAGAAGTTTAATTTTTTAAAGCTTTTTTATAGTAGGTGATTAATTTGTAAATTTAAAATTACATGATGCTGTTATGAAATTAGAAGTTTGGAGATCTTTTCTATCATCATATTTATGGCTGATTGGAAATATCCCTCCAGCTTGGCCATTTAAATCTGATTTTTAAACTTTTTAAATCTATTAAACTTGTAATTATGATGTGCAATTTGGAAATATCCCTCCAGGTTGGCCATTTAAATCTGATTTTTAAACTTTTTAAATCTATTAAACTTGTGGTTAATTATGATGTGCAATATAATTTTGTCTTTTTTTTTTTTTTTTTTTTTTTTTTTTTTTTTAAAGAGGAGAATGTGTTTAGTCATAGCAACTATTTTGATTTTATGCCGGATGTATCTGTTCCATTGAATGATACTTCAAAAAATATCTTGCCTGAGTTATTGTGGCAACATGGGCTGCATAATTACCTTGACATTTTCACTAAAGAAGAGGTAAGACTATTTTTATATGGAAGTTATACCCTGTTCTTAATTTTTTTTTTAAATGGTAGTTTTGGTTATGTTAACAGTTACACTTTTATTTAGAGCACATTTTACCAGTAAAGCAATATTTTAAATATGGTAATTAGAAAGGTATTTTTCAAAGCGATTATTTATTTTCAGTTTAAATTTCCCCCCCCCCCAATCCCCGTAAATTGCGTTGTTCTACATTCAAAAAGTGGTTTATGACTGTGCATAGCTGTTTTGGAGGAAAAAAAAACAAAGAATTCCGTCCCCCGCTGAAGATAGTATGCCACGAAACAGAAAAATCTGAAAATATGTAGCTAAAAGTCACTAGGTGTTTATTGTTGATATTTGCTAAGGCTTTATTAACAATATATGGAACTCTCTTTTACTTTTTTAAAGCGGGCATTTGAAGTGACTCTGCCTTCATGTGACATCTGTCGTCATCATTGCACAGAGGCAATTAGAAGGTTTTAGCAAATTAGGTAGCAAAAAAATAAGTTAGCAAATTAGGCAATTAAAAGGTTTTAGCAAATGAAACGTCTTTTCTAACCTTTCCATTCAATGCCATAGTTATGAGTATTTGGGAAAAAATTGCCATAAAAATGCTTGTTCTGAAGTAACAAAACTATAGCATTGCTGTTCTTCAAGGTAGGCTGTCTACTAAATTTCAGTAAAGTGCTATGGAAATTTGTTTCCATATTGCAAGTGCATAGCTAACAAATGTTAAGTTACCAAACAATTTATGCAGTTGTCCCAGGAAACATAAATGTATTACAATTTCTGGTGAAGTCGAAACCAATTCTTTAGTGGTTGGTCTATGCTGTTCCCTTTGCATATGTTTACACTCTGAAGCTAGGATCTTTTCTTATGAGTATGTCAATAGACAAAATGAAACAAAACAAAGAAAGATTAGATAGTTGCTACAGGGTGGGGTGTAAGAGTTTGTCGATAGTAGTTCATAACTCTCATACTTAAAAGATACTGAAATCAAGAGATTAAGTTCTAATATGGGAAAACTGTAAACTTATGTGTTTGTTGTAGATTTAGTCAAGATCTCAAAAGGGTAGACAGGGTACATCCTTCATCAAGAACAAAGAAATCTGCAAGGCTTTGTTAAATTTCTTCGGTTGTAATGAAGAGGGACCCGTGATCTTGACTTTATCTATGCCAAACACAAGGCTATTTATTGTGATGCTTATTTTACCTTTTACTTCTTTCAAACCTCGCCTTCAGCATAGTGCAAATCCATAAAATGCCATTAGCAGGAGATTCTTAATCCAGATGCATCTGAGAATGCCATGATCACAAGTCATGACTTATATATTTTAATATAGAAATCCCTTTCAGTGCAGGTGGGTTTTGCTTCATTTACTGTGTTTTAGATTTATAATGATAAATACTGGTGCCATCATACAACTGTCTTTTGAATAGCTTGCTGCAAAATCTATCTGCAAGGGGAAATAATCTTCTTATTGATTTTGTTCATAAGTTGAGGTATTGATATCATGCTTGTAGACTTTGGTAGTGTGGATCTCTAAGGTTCTTCGCCCTGCTTGCTTTAACAAGAAAGGTTCTGTGCTTGCTGTAAATCAAGGCATGTGAAAATATCTCTGCACAGAATTGGCCATGCTTGTGTTCAAACATGACCTGTTTGAAATGATTCATTTTTTTTTGGGGGGGGAGGTCCATGTATGTGATAGTAAAACATATTCATAGTAGTTATGCATTATTTTTGTCATATATCCGTGAAATATTGGAACTAAGATTTGTCCAGCAATGTTAGGCTTTTATGAAGAGAATGCTAATAAATTTAAGGATTTAAGACCCGTGTTTAGTTTTATAGCCCTCGTGAAAGAATTCCAAATGTATAAAAAATTTTTCCAAATGGTATTTATTAAGAGAGCTAGAACCTGTTTAATTTTCAACATAATCGTAGAACATGGAATTTCAGGATAATTCAACATAATCGTGGAACATGGAAGTCAGGGTTGCTTGGTGCTGTCTGCTATTTTTAGCTTTTTTATATTGTCCACGCTTCATTTGAGCATGAAAATTAAATAAAAGCATAAACTAATAAAAGAAATTACATATTGAATATTAAAACATTTAAATTAATCAGAAGCTTATAAGCTTTGCAACAACAAAGATAAGGCCTTCATTTATTATTGCGAATAAATCATGCTTAATCCATTCTGGAATTTATTCGAGGAAATAAGTGTTTAAGATTTACTACATAATTTTCAATACAGACATTTTGAGTTTTTATGCATTTTTGCCTTGTTGCGAAGTGAGAACTGAATTAATTGAATGAGAAATACTGAATCGTCTGTGAAAAGCCTTTTCTTTCTTGTTTTGTTTGCTTAATTTCTTTTGACATCGTTCTAGATTTATTATAGTATTTGAATAGAACATGTGACTATGATTAGATAATTCTTCAAATGATATAAATTTTGTGCATTTTGAGTTATGAATGAAATATAACGCTGTTAAGTGAACCTAGCGCCAGAGTGTCGCTATGATAAACAAATATATTGAACTTTAAAGAGTGCATTTATTCTATTGTCTTTTATGCTTTATAGATGAAGTAGATTTAATTCAATCCAATAAGTTAAGAAAAAATGCGTATAATTTAATATTCCTTACAAGGAAGTCATGGTGTACACATCAGATTTTTTATATTGTCCATGCTTCATTTGAGTATGAAAATTAAATAAAAGCATAAACTAATAAAAGAAATTAAGTGTTTAATACTAAAACATTAAAGTTAATCAGATGTCATAGGTTTATGAATCTGATTGAAAATCTAACTAAAAACTCTGGCTAAAAAATGTTTAGTTCACCTTTTAAAATTAGCTGATGTCTTTATGATGCTGGTTTATTTATTTATTTTATTTATTATTTTTTGATTTTTGAGAATTAAGTATTAGGCATTCTGTAGCTAAAGGATTATCTGCTGCTAAAGTTGTGTAGTGGGTAATGATGATGGTGATTATGATTTTTATTTTCTTCTATATTTAATTTTTGTTGTTTTTCAATTTTTAAGATTGACTACAAGACATTCCTATTGCTTAATGATGAAGATCTGTTAAGATTGGGTATTGGATTTCAAGCCAGGATGAAACTGATTTGTTTAATCAGAGGTAAATTCCTTTAGATTTTATGTTCAGAAGATTCTCACAGCATTGTGAAAGCTAAGTTTAAAACGAAATGTTAGATTGTTTTTAAAATAAATTTCATATTCTTTCAAAAGAAAAGGTGACAAATATGTTAAAAATCTCCTTTTCACCAAAGATACAGATTAATCGTTTTTATGTGTTGACTTTATCTTACTGAATGTTACAAAAGAGAAATATGTTTGTTATATTATGTAGGGGAGAAACAGCTGACTTCAGTAGTATGTGGCATTAATTTGCCTTCTGTTGGATGATAAGGTGAATGTGTCGCTTGTTTCAGTATTGAAGTTCTTCAGTAAGCTGACAACATGCAATCCTCTCATATCAGCTAGATGTTTTATCAGCTAGAGGCAATAAATTGATTAACATCTTACTGTACATTGGTAAAAGTGTTTTTTAAAAATCTCTATAAGCTTAATGCAGTTTCATAAAAGTCATGAAAATGTAAAATGGTCAATAAAATATGACAATTATACTTAAGGAATAGGTGGATGAATGCATTGAAGTGGATTGTAGAGTGATAATATGCTTTCTGGAACAGATATTCAACATGAATCATAGTAGACTATGGATAGTTATGCATTTTGGAAGTGTTGGGATGTTGCAAATTTGAAATGCAGGAACGTGTGCACACACGCAGTAAGCGCATGGAAAATATTGCTCCCGGTGAAGCATAAAAGTTCACAGTAAAAAACATTGGATATACAGAAAGTTTTCAAGTGGGCTTAGGATGGAACTATTTCCTGTAACATCAGTGATTTGCCCATGTTTTCCAAATTAGTGTGGCCAGTCTAATACTCTGCTCCATTTCCCATGAGGCACTAATTATTCTGGCGAGATTTTATTTAGAGATCTTAAGCAACTACCTTATCATCCTATGATTGAGATCTCATTTTATTGCTGTGGGGGAATACTGAAATATGACATTTCTAATTGAGGCTGAATTGTATGGTCATGTGATAGATGGATGCCTTTCTAAATTCAAACACTTTTAAGAATGATATGCACAGTTATTGCATCTTTGGGACTGCTTTCTGTATGCCTGTGACAGTTCATTTTAATTGGCCCTCTTCTATAGCTTTTTATGATACATAACTTCATGTACATTTTTATGATTGTTGTCACATTTTCATCTGAACACACCAAATGATATGCTTGTTATTGAAAACTTTGAATAATACTTCTGGAGACTGCTGAAAATTGTTAAAGCAGATTAAATTTCTGTAGGTGCTTAATTTTGATTTTCCTTGAATTAATTGAATAAAAATAAAATGATTTAAAATAATAATTGAGATTTTCTCTCTCAAGGTGATATATATCATGTGCTGATTATTTGCATGAAAATGTAATGGTATTACCTTGCCAGAGTCCCATAATATATGGAATTTTTATAGTAATTTTGGAATTTTATTCTAAAAGATATCAGCTAGATGTTAAAAAAATTAACTAAACTTGCTGTAAATGTCTTAATTCTTTCTAAAATTATAAAAATATAATTTTGTATGTAACTCAGAAAAAAAAAATGCTTTTATTTGATAGAATTGCAGGATACAGAGATGTTGAAGATGAAACCAAGAGATTTTAATGCTGCTCCTGGTGCTGGTAGAAAATAAAAACTGGAAGAGAGAACTTGCTATTTTTTGTTTTGGTCATATATTATACTTTAATGAAAAAATGCAGAAAGATTTTTTTTAAAGTAATGGAGGACATTTTTTAATGGTGATATGATCTTTGGTTGTTATCATTTAAGTATAATACTTAGTTGATTTTTGTGCTGATGTTAGATTGTGTATTGGAAGTTCTCAAGATTGTGTATTGGAAGTTCTCACTTTGTGAGCATATTAATTATTAACAACAATATCATCAATATTCTCTTTTTGTGTGCATCAAAAAGAAAATGTAAATTAAATATTGATTTTTATTGCTTTATTTACAAAATCTTGTTTATTGGGCCAGTGCATTAGAATTTACAAGCTTGTTGACTCCTATGTGTTTTACTTTATTTTCTATAGACTTCTAAAATGTCTTGTCATTTTTATATGTGTGTACATGCAGTTAGGAACTAACTTCCATGTCTGTCATGTTTGATATCTCCGTTATCACTAGTATTTGTGATTTATGTGTCCAGTAACATAAATAAGACTTCAAGAAACTGAAAGTATTACAATGCATGCTTTATTTTATGAAAATTGTTAAATCTCTGTATTGAAAAAGTGAGAGTAGTTTTAATGTGTGGTTTTGTTAGTCATCGGTATTGATTACCATTTAAACTGAAATGTTCATCAAATCTAAGAAACATTTTATATGAATATAACTGTCTCTTTGCATGCCTGACAACTTCATTAAAATGAAATTCAGAAGGCAGAGCACAGAGGGAATTTCAAAAGAGAAAACTGAGACTTACCTGATGTTTTGAAGCAATTGAAAGATTTCCAAAGTTCTGCTTCGTTAAATCAACTTGTTCAAATTTCATAATAGAAATATCCAAAATTAGGAAACAAGAAAGCCTATGGCATTTTAAAACTTAAAAAAGGAAAAATATGAATTTTCATTTCCCTAACATAAGTGTTTTTACTGTATTATAATTTCTTAAGATTATCATAAGCGTTGTTATATTTGATAACAAAAATCACTACGGATGAAGTGCATAGAATTAAAATTTTTACAGTCAAACTAGTTTCAAAATCGCAGATATTGAAAAACCATTAAATCACATGACATTCAAAAAGGAAATAATTTGCTTTCTTCACCGTTAAAAGGACAAAATGGAAAAATAAACTAAATATTTGCTGAGATTACTAGCTTGATATATAAAAATCTGACGAAAAATTAGCAATTTGGCACAACTTCTGGTGTGTGTACAAAAAAATCAGAAATTGTTTAAAAAAAGTGTTTCATTTTGCATGTAAAATTAAAAACTACAATAATTTCAGAAAAATTGTTGAGATCTTAACAGTTCACAAATGTAGCATTCTTTTGCTTATTTTGTTTATATTTTTAGATTAAAATTTTTTTCCCCTTCTGAATTTAAAAGCAAAATATTAAGTGTAATGCATGCACCTGATAATCCTTTGTATTTGGGTCGTATCATTAAACTGATTTTTTTTTGGGGGGGGGTAGTTTTGGACAGTCCTTTGTTATTAGGATTTTTAATTTGTATCTGATAATCTTGTCATTTTAGTATGCCTTAAAAAAGTCTTTTGAAGATAATAGTTACAATTCTTTGTTATTTAAGTATGGCTTCTAAAAACAAAATGTCTTGGTCTAAGATAACAGTTACTATAAGAATAAATTATTAGGCTAAAATTTTAGTTATATATTCTATAAGCATAAATTTTTGGACTAAAATTTATTTTATTAATAATTTTAATTTCAGGTACTTTTACATGGTATTTTACTGTGTGAATGCTTTACTATTTTTACAGAATTAAATGAATTTAAGGCATTTACTGTTAAGCTGTCTGGAATTTGTTCCAGAGTAAATAAAATTAAGTATAAAAATGCCAAAAATGTTATATTTTTGTAAAATAATAAAATATTTCTGTGTAATATGTATACTTTCCTAAAGAGTAATTTGAAGTAGATTTTATGCCTAAATTATGTATTATGCATTTATCAATGTGCATCTAGAAACCAAAGATATTTTCTTGTTTATGATATAAGAGTATAGTCTTCAAGTGCAATTTGAACCTTTGTTTCCTAAAATATCTAATCACTTTTTGTTTAATTTTTTTTGTATTAATTTTGAATCTCTGTTATCATGTTACTTAAAAGTGTAATTCATATCACTTTGTTTTTATGTATATAGTTAATTGTGCCATATGTTTTGACATTATTCCATATCATGTTATTGATATTATTTTTTATATCTGTGTTGAGTATGTTAATAAATGTTTTTATTCTTCATTTTTGTATATCTTTTGTAAACAATTTCAACAGATATAAACTTTTACTTTTCACTGTGCTTAAAAAAAAAAAAAAAAAAAAAAAAAAAAAAAAAAAAACCCAATAACACCAGTATTTATGGTATAGGAGTTGTTGAAAAGAAAGAAATTTTGTGGTGTAATCTGTATTTCTTGCGGTTCCAGGTCAGGCAGTCATAGTGAACAACAACCCCTTTCCAAGATGTTCTTCGAAATACTTGTCAATTTAGTAAGTTGCTGTGTTAACATAAACTTGGCCCTGTAAAAATTTCTGTGAAACAAAATAACATGTCTGATATTTGGTGATAAGGAAGGTGATAACCTATTAAAAGAATTGTTTAGCACTAAAAGGTGTTGTAAAAGCTTGAATATTAAATATGTGGCATCTTACAGCATCTATTATAAACCATATCAATAAAAAATCATTTCTTTCCTGACTGTTTTATTTTAAAAAAAGAGAAAGAAGCAAAATCCCAGTTTAAAAGTTCTGAAATGAAGTACGGTTCTGCACATCAGTTTATTGATAATAGCAATGCATTCATGGTGCATTCATTCAAGTTTGAATTAATGAAGAAACAAGGATTCTTCATTAATTAAAACTTTTTATTTTTAATACAAACACATCATTCAAATAAAGGCTTATTCTGTAAAATTAAGAAAAAATAAAACTTGCATTGACTTCAGTTGTGCAGATCAGGGGTTCTTAAACTATGGTCGGCAAAAATTTTAGTAGTTTTGATATTTCTTTAACTTATAATAATTTTATTCAGTTTTATTAATTACCAAATATTTTTACACAATGTAGCTTAAAATAAAGATAAGACAATACAGACAAACAAAAAAATGAAAACGTTTCAACGTATTCTTTTTATAATAAAAACGTTAATTTTCCTTGCCTTGCATGTGACGCTGTCATTTCGTCTGTTACTTATTTAAAATTTTCACATTGTTGTTCTATGTCTTAAAATTAGAAATTAAAGTTAATGACCTAAAACTGCAATAGTATATTGCTGTACAAGTGAGAAAATTGACAATTTCACTCACGCGCATGTCGGATTTGCACCATACCTATAGGGTCTCACAAAATTTTTGTAAATATTATGGGGGTCCTAGAAGTCGTGAAAAAATCTTTGTGATAAAAAGGGGTTGCTACTGAAAAAAAGTTTTAAGAACCCTGGTAAAGGTGATGAGTACGGAACTATGTATGTGATGGAGAGTTGAAAATATTGCTATGTTACAGTAAATTCCTTACCTTTAGCAAAGGTCATGAAAATCGGAGTAAAAAAAGAACTGTGAGAAAAATAGACATTGCTTTGTGAGTTTTTAGAGTGACGTAAAAATGATTCATATAGCGAAATTTTTTTTATGAAAAAAAGAACTAGATTTGGAATAGAAGAATTTGCCCCAAAATGAGCTTTTAAAATACAATGGGTGAAGTATGAATGACAGAGGATATTCTATATTGTTCCGTCCTACTACAGTTAATAACTCTCTTATACAATAGGTCAAGTATTATGAATGACAGAGGATATTCTGTTTCATCCTCCTACAGTTAAATGGATTACCAGTTAGTTTCTTAATGGTAATTGTTTTGAACATAAACTGATTCATTCCTTTTAAAAAATACCACCGGTTTTACTTTTTAGTCCTACGGCTATAGGATCATTTCCTAAAATTGCCGATAGATGGCTGAGGCTCACAGTTTTGTCTCGCCAAAACGTGTTTCGGGATTCATTAAGCAAATAAGACATTCTAACATTTTCTCTCTTTTGCAAATGAAAGTCGAACTATTGTAATTGATGAATGCAAAATTGAAGTTTTGCCATACGAATGAATTTAGTCGTTATATCTGTAACCATTTGTTCTGCTGACATATAAGAAAGGTTTATTCATGTTCTTGCTATGCTAGTCGCGTATTTGATGATTTCGTGTCAATTTGTTTTATACACAAACAGTACTTTACAGGTTAATTTTTTTTATTGATTGATAATCTTAAAAAAAATTGGTAGAGTTTCGGGTAGAATAATCATTAAAATCTTGTGTAAGTTTCAATAGCCGCAGAGACTTTCAATAGTGCAGTATATTCAGCTTCTGCTGAGGATAAAGAGATGCTCATTTGTTTTCTTCTAAACCATGAAAGGCAATTGCCTTTAATCAACATTTGAGTAGACTGCAAGGATTGGTTCTAATTTTTGTGGAATAGAACAAAAATGTAGAAAAAGATCTTTTCTTTCATTTAAGTATCTAATATGATTTTTCTTACAGCATTCCAGTCTTTTTGTTGGCAGTTGTTACATCTTCTGCTACGTATGTGAGTTGAAGCTGTAATATCTCATGATAGGTAATAGATACAGAAGACTTTAAATAGCATGGTGAATTTTATCATTTGAAGGTAGATTTTCTTATCCTAGTCTGTAATAATTTCTTTGCTTTGATTGTATTAAGGTTTCTCTTCTTCTAATTAAAATTGCTTGCTAAATTGATTTTATTTTTCCAAGGTAAGAGATAATTTCTATATTCTTTTAGATTTATTTCCATGTGTGAGAAATATTTAGCTTCACCCAAATATTGATAGAGTTTCTTTAAATCATTGATTACCTGAAGAATTAATGCTGCTTGAGCACTTATTAAAATATCATCAACATACACAATTACATTTATTCTTTGATCACGCTTCCTTTTTCTGAAAGACATGGATGTGCTTTATTTTAGTTGAACTCAAAATTCTTAGAACGCATTTAAATTTCTGCATTCCAGCATCTGGCTGCTTAGTGTGAGACCTTGATTTCTTCAGTTAACGAATTTTGTCTCTTTCTTTCGAAACTACATATCTTTCTAGTTGTTCTTCATTTAATTTAACATCTAGTAGAGTGGCGTTTGTGTTGTAACACAGTCAGTGCTAAGAAAACAATTGTGGAAAATATCAGTACTGAAGAGAATATTTCATCATAATCGTTTCATGATTTGGGTATAATCTTTGGCAACTGTTTGCTTTGTATTTTATCCTCTTACCAGTTTTATCATATTTGGTTTTAAGCGCCTATTAGCTGTCGACTATGTTTTCCTGATGGTAAATCTGTAAGTTCATAGGTATATTTCTCATTTAAAGAGTTTTTCTTCCATTGCCTTTATCCAAGCTCCTCGTTTTGGTAAGCTTAAAATTTCTTCAAAGCTTTCTGGATCTCTATTTTGAGATAATGTTTATGCTTCATTTTCTGCATTGCATGAGAATCTCTCCAGTGGAGCACCTTTAGTTGCTCTACAAGAAACTCATCTTTCTACATATTCTTCTCTATGTTTAATTAATTCTTCATATGTTTTTGAATCTGCTGTCACAGCATCTCCAAAGAGCAAATAACATAGTTAATTGTATTGTGCAGCAGTAACACTTATATAATGTAATTCAAATTGTTTTTCAACTTTGAAAACAGGCCTAAAAATTCAATAATTTCTAGTAGTCAGAATCATAATATATATATTCTTTTCTAGAAAGCCTCTGCTGAATATGTGCTTTTCTTGTATTTGAAGAAGGTACTGTTGACTTGTTAATAAGACTGATTTCAAAGCAGTACTGTTTTCTTTGCATGCATTCTTGTGAAGTGATTTCTCCAAAAATTAAGTCTGATTTGGATCTTTTCACATATGAGGATGTGGAATCAAAATTAGACTTGCATTATAATGACAGTGAAGGGTTCGTCTTGCTAATGAAAATGCAGTGAATTCAGTTGTGGCAACCACCTTCCTAAGCTTTCCATTTTTGAATTTTTGAGAAATACAGTGAAACTTAGATTCATGAGCTTAATTATTTCCTGAAGGCCATTCGTCAACCGAAATGTGCATAAACTGAAACAATTTTCCCTCATAGAAATTAATGTCAAATGTGTTAATTCATACCTGGATCCCCAGAGGTTTGCCTATTTTAATTTACAGCATTACTCTGTGCACAACTTTATAATCCGAAACCAGTGGAAATCATTAGGTATAGCACTTAAAAAAGATGAAAATATAATATTACTGAACCTATATACAGAAGAATGTAGGAAGAAGAGGGCAAAAATGGAAAATGATGATTATGATGTTATCAGAATGCAAAATTTCCTGTCATAAAGTTATAAGGTAAATATTAAATTAAAGAATATGTACTTGCAATTCGACTCTTTTTGAAATTCATTTGGCTTCTCTTTCTCTCAAAATTTGTGCAATATGATATGTTTTAAATGTAACTTAACACATGGCATTATCATTTAAAATGCTTATACTGTATCTTGCTTCTGCTTTATCAGTTTAATACCGTTATGTGAAAACTTTGCGTCTACCATCGTGCTTTGCACAAATTCATAATTAAATCCTTTATTCAAAATTAGCAAACTGCGAGATTACGTGTGCTACTAATTCTGTGGTAACTTCACGTAAAGTGACGTGGAAAACAGGAAGTCTAAAGCATTAAAGTCTTTAATTGCATTTCACTTAAGAAATAAATATGAAGAAATATTTCTTTTCATAGACTTTTTTACAGAAAACGAAAACTTTTTAATCTGCGAAGGAGAGACAGTAATGTGAAAAGAAAATTGTGGACGAAATGTCTCGTATAACACTGGATCTCGTAACTATTTATAGATCATAATTTTGTAGAGAAGTTCTGATGAAGATAAAATGCAATAACTTTTTAATATCAGCTATGTGTTCTAATCACTTCCTATGATAATTGCTAGATGGCAGCACTACTCATGCAATAAATTCCTTGTCATGGTTTTTAGATCCCCCCCCCCAAAAAAAGGTAACAAGGTTAATAAAAAATATTTATTAACAATAGACAGAAAATACTAAAGGAAATTAAAGAGGTGTCTTGGCTTTCATTTTTCCATATACGCATCAAATCTATTTAGGCATTTATCTGTTAGAACAACTTTCACTTCATCATCTTACCACTAGATGGCTGCACTATGCAGGAAGCAGTTATTCGAAGATGGCTCGAATGCTTGC